CTGCCCTCATATTTGCAAACCCAGATTTGGAACCCAACTTAAAACATCAATTACAACAACCCATCACCATTTCATCTGCTAAATATAACACAATTCACATGAACCCAGCCTTGTCGCAACCCCAGCCACCCTACAATCCACGAACCCAGTGTCGTTGCAACTCATGAACCCAGCCCCTCCGCAACCCAGCCAAACCGCAATCCACGAGCCCCACCCACTCCGCAAACCCAGCCTTACTACAATCCACGAGCCCCAGCCACCCCCACAAACCCAGTCTCGTCCCCTGACAAACAAGTCCAACAACACATTTTCTCCAAAAGCGTGACCCTGAAGTCTATGATTCTATCACACTTTGCAAGATTCAACTTTTTCATGGTTTTTGAGGAAGACCCATTTGCCAAAAACCCCAATCCACGATCTGTAATCAATGAACAATCTTGCAAACTCAAAACGCTAATCGAATTTGCATCTGTTAAGAACAATGGATTGGGTTGGAGCAAAGGATGGGGGGCAAAGAAAGAGAATGTTGAAGAACAATCAACATGGGATAACAAATCTAGAGATTGGAATGCTCCAAAATCTTTTGACAGAGACCAATCGTCAGGATGAGGTCAAACTAAAGCTTGGCATAGTGATGGAGGAAATCAGGTTTTGGGGAAAACGATCAGATCTGTGGCATGGTGGAGGTGATGGGTTGGGCTGGAACAAGAGAGGTGTTAAGGCTGGGATAGGTGGCCTGAGTAAGTTTGGGTGGTGCTTTGGGTGGCTGGGGGCTAGGAGGAGAGGAGATCGGGAGAGAGAGAGAGAGAGAGAATCTGGGTAGGGTTTTTTTTTTTTTTGTTGTCTTTTTTATTTTTTAAATTTAAATTTAATTTTTTAAAATAATTAAATTTTTTATAATTAATTTTTAGTCCACGTCATAAAAAAAAGGGTCCCACTTTTAACACATCAGCATTTAACAAACTAACGGTTTGGCTAACGAAGGGGCAAATTGTAGGTTTTCCGCGACGTTGAATATGTACTCGTAAATGTCTCCAAAATCGGGTATGAACTCGTAAATGACCTTATAGGTTGGGGAGTTTACTGTAGTTTACCCTTAAAAAAAATACACACCTTGTCTGGTTCAACTCAATATGTTTTTCACTACAAGAGCTTGAGAGATGAAGAGCTTGAGGGGATTATGGACCAATAAACCCCCAATAAGACTACACCACAAATATATATCGTCATTATCATACTGTACATGTAAATGGAACTGAGATCCCCTCAAACCAAGTAAAGACAAATATCAATAGAGCAAAGACTAGTTCTCGGCACTTTCCCAATATCTCTCCCGGAAGTGCCCCACCAATCATTTCCCACCAGCATTGCAGAAATGCAAAATAAAGATTGTCAAGGACTGAAGAACGTGTCTTGCAAGTTAGACGACACGTCGAACTCCTAGTTCTGACTGACGCACCAACCGCAATTTTTCTTTTAAAATCAAATCAATATCAAGCAGGCACTCGATAAGTCGATAAACCCTCTCATCTTCTCAGTTTTGGAACAAGAAGAAGGTGGCCCAAAAAACACAGGGCTCCTCTCTCTCTCTCTCTCTCTCTCTCTTGAGTTTTTCTCCCATCGGTTCCAGGTACGCAACTCTGTTACTTTTCCTAAAACTGATTGTCACAGACACACATAGACATGAACACGAGAAAAAAGAAGAAAAAATATGACCAAAACAGTCACATTATTATTGCCATGACCCATGAAATGAAAGATGTCCATCTCCCATGAAGTCCATAAACCAAAGTTGAATTTTGTTTAGGGTTACATGAACAGATTATTGCCTCCTTTTGGGCATCTTTGTCTAAGCTCTTGAAGAATGTTCCTTTGACTGGGTAGGAGTTCTGTACTGAATGTGGTCTGTTTGTTGTCTGCTTTAAGTTGGCGTGGGCTTGCTGGACTGCTTGCCCATCTCCCTGTTATATTTCTGTTTTTTTTTTCCCAGCAGAACTCTTGTTTCCTATATATAAAAAAATGAAACCACTTTTTTTTTTTTTTTCTTTCTAATTTTCCCTGCTGTAAAAAACATACTAAATCATGCTTTATGGGTATTGATTCTGTCTATTACACTTCTATTATATTCTGTATATATCTTAGATTACACAACGGTGAACTTATTTGCTTCAAGAGGAATATCCTCTTATGCAATGCCTTCTTGCATAAGAAATTACCTCATTTAATGAGGCTCATTATATTTCCATAGTGTAAATGCATATTGTGCATTAGAATCTTCCAGTAACCAGTCTGTTATTAGGTTTGTTTGGAAGAAAATTCAAAGCGTCTTATAGTGAACTGAGAATTACAAAAGAAGAAGAATTGCAGGATTTGATCCATCATGGAGTCCAAGCAGGATGAAGTTTTCCACGGTACTTGCTTACTTGTCGTATATATGTCAAGCTTTCCTCAAACCTTTTATTTATTTTTCTTGCAAGCATTAAAACTAATTATGGTTAGTTTGTTGAACTTGCAGTGTAATATGACTGATTTCAAAATTAGATTTGTGTACAACTGTGTGCCAACCTTTTTGTTGATGACTCCTGATCTGGATAAAGCTTTTTATAGTGATTGACAAGGAGTTAGGAAAAGATGGATTTCATAATCAAAGAATTTATGTTTAGTAGATAATTAATGTTCCTCTCTAAGATGGTATGCTGGCTTGCGATATATTCTGTCATTTTCACACTTAAGTGTTGTGTATCCCCTTCAGAGGGCCTACTTTGTGCTTACATTATTGCTCAAGCGTTCAAGGATGTATTAGGTAGAAATTGTTTGGTCTATTACAAGTTCAGAGTCGAAATCTTTCTGTATGATAGGACAATCACCAAAGATGATACTCAATTGTTTGCTGAAAAAAGTGAAATTTACTCTTTAAAGGGTCAATGTCATCAAGAAAAAGACACACATTCCATTAAAAGTAAAATTGGCTTCCAACTCATTTGCTTGAAATATAGACTGGCCAATTGCATATTTAATTTTGACACTTTTGACCCTACTTAGAATTGGAAGTACTCTTGCATTGCATCCTGAAGATGTTCATCTATGGTAAATAAAGCAGAGTATAACAATGAAGTAGTATTAAGTGCACATTTCTGTTTAAGTTGCTAACATCTGTGAAATTCGACAAACTTCTCATATCTGGAGTAACATTAGAGGAACTGAAATGATAGTATGGCTGTCCTAAACTTTTGGTTCTAGTTTAAATAACATCCATGCAACTAATTACTAAAAAAATTTGAAATAAGGTTATGGCATTATGTAGTAAACCTGAAGTTAAAACATTACTCAAATTTTCATCATCCTTAGATCCGTCCTAGATTCTCGGTCATATCAAGTTGGCTGCGTTGAAGTCTTGTCGTCCATTTTGTTGTTGTTCTATCATATGCATTATTTCCTATTAAATCTAGGTTGAAATCTTTCTTTATTACTTCTTCCATAGTCCATAGTAATTTTGGTTGGCCGTTTTCACTTGAATTAGGCTTTCGTTGATTAAAGGTGCATTTGGTGGTCTAAGTTGATCATTTCCATACCACCTAAACTGGTTTCTCTTTCTTATCACTAGTAGATTGTTTCTCTAGTACACTGATTGTTATTAGAGCTACTCTTATCTGCCATGTTATCATTCTCATCTCCGTTCTATGGACGCTTTGCTTTTGCTTTTTCTTTAATGCACAATATTTTGCTCCATATATAAACAGTAGCTTTGCACCGGTAATGGTTGTAAAACTTCTTTTTTAAACTATTTTGTATGCTTATATCATATAGGGTGCCGCCAAGTTGTTTCCATTTTGTCCATACAGTGACAGTTCCAGTTCCCCTTATTACATTGTCATCTGTTTCTCTCATATTTTGACTCACTGATTCTAGTATTGAAAATGATATGTTTAGGCGTTGCTCTACTTCTGAATTGTTACTAAACTGTTATCGTTTTCGTCTTTATTGAATTTCATTCCATATATGCTATTTTAATTCTACTAGTTGTTAAAGAATTTGATTATGAGACATTTCTCCATGTTTAAAGTTTTCCAATAAGTGTCTTTAGAACTGCCCGTCAAAACTATGTCATCAGTAACATATGTTAACCTCACTGCCGGTTATATTATGTTATTGGAAATAGTGTGATTGATATAATTTTTTCCTATTCCACATCTTTATTATGTATCTAGATTTGTGAACATGCTAGTTTATTTGCCAAATTGAGGTTTGAGTTTTTAACCAGATAAGGATGAACAGAAGACAAGAAACAAAGTATCTGCGTCCAATATCTCTAAGGTTGATGGGAAAGATGTGTTGAAACCGTTCTCTAGTTTCCCAGATAATAAAGTGCGAGCTAATGTGACTGATTGGAAACGTGGAGAAAATATTGCACATGATGCGTCTTCTGCAGATATAGATGCCTTTGCTGAAGTGAACATGGAGGCATCAATAACAGCTGAGGATGTCATGCGGGCTGGAGGCTTCGGTGCTAGAGATGATATGAGTAGTTTTCTTCCTGTTGCAAGTGACTCGACTGACTTTGAAGCTGCAATACGTGACGCTAGAGGCTATGAAGAACCACAGGGGGATATCTGCAGACCAGGTCTTGGCTGGAAAGCAGCTAGAGAAACAAAATAACTGTGTTGTTGCTACAAGCCACCATATATGTAAGTTTGTTGCACTTAAGATTTTGCTAGTTTTTGCTTGTAGTACTAAAGGATCAATGTATGCAGACTATGGTAACATAAATTTGGCTGTATTTCAATTTCAAGTTTTCATCTTTTTATTTTGTAAATTCTCTGATATTTTCTTGGAAGGGACATGAGACCCTTTGTCAAAATAACCACGAAACTAAAATGGGCTTCATAATATATGCTAAGGACACCCTTTACTGGAATACAGTCACTAAATCTATTTACAACATGCGCTGGGTTTGTATTTGATGCTTATAAGTTTGAACGCAATTTATCAGACAATCCGAAGGGGCCCTATTTTGCTTACTATGCAACTGGAAATCCAAGGACATGTTAATTTAATTGCCATGACTGTACTGTAGTTTCGGGGATTATTGGCTCTGGATATGTGAGGCACTTCCTGTGTGGCTCTTTTAAATTGCCAGTGTCATAAGATGGGTATTGCCTTCTGGAAGATCCTCTGCCCCGGGGCAAGGATTGCCAAAGGGTCATAAGAAGACTTCCTCTGTATGAAAGATTGCCATCGAGGGCCAAAATGAGCTTTCCACTCTTGTTGGGTTCTGTAATAGGGTAGATATTGCTTGATACCAAGCTGGGCTCTATCACAATACTCCAGAATTCTTCTGTTTTGTGTTAAAATTTGATCTAGGCCATCTGTTCCTGTGGAAGATGGCACTGCAGAGGATAGGAATGCCACTAAGTAGAAGACATCTTCATCTGGGGTAACCAAAGATGTGTTGTTGTGCCACCTGTAACACAATAAAGGAATTAAGGTTGAGAATATGGAAAATTTGAGACTTTTAAAGAAGTCATAAAATTGTAGAGTAGTTACTTGGTTTTGTTGACAGGGTACATAAGGATAGGACCATTGATATTATCTGTGAGAATGTTGCCAAAGATCTCATCAGCAAAGTCATGTATCTTGCTTTTAGGGATGAGAAGGTTCATCCACGGGTGGGGAACTTCCCATAATCCTTTCGTTCGGAGTTTTATCTCGGACAAATGCACTCTATCTAGGAATTCGACATAGGAAACTTCGGACAGGAAGAGGGTGGATGGGATGTAATGCAAAAGTAACAGTAAGCTTTCAGTTCTCTGCATACACAAAGGATTGCAATGAGGACTTTACCAAGTGATGAATATTTGTATTTCCTGTCATCGAAGAAATAAGGAGGATATTTTTCATTTCCTTGAAAGTCTCACCTGATCCATGACGTCGGTTTCATTGGGGTTGAAGTATTTGGCCATTTCTAGGCAGTAGAGTGTTCTTCCATCTGAATTGAATTTGCTGGCTTGCATTGGATCTTTAGGATTGAAGGAAGATCTCCAGTTATTAAGAAGACCTGTTCTATTAATTATTACAAATCCTTCAATATAGTCAAATGAATTTTCAGATGATATGAGAAACTCTTGGTCCTTGGAAAATGATGAGAAGTCTGAATATAACACTCTGATCCATTTCACCTGTCAAAATAAATAAACTATGTATTATAAATTTATAATACATGTACACTTGGATTGTAATGTACCTTCTTTTGAAATGGAGTGTATTTTTTTACCATCTTTGGTGCTGGTTCAAGAGAAATTCTGGCCTGTGTGATGATGCCAAACTGTCCAAGCCCTCCAAGAACACCATAAAAAAGGTCTGGACTATTGTTCTCTGAACAGGTTATTACTTCTCCTTGTCCTGCAACAGAACTTCGAATTTATATTACTGGCGCCTTTTTGTCGCATAGCTAATTGAAATTGTTTCAAATGAGTAAGATTATATAAAATCAACATATTTTATGAGGTATGAAGGAGTGTTTTAGTGCCAAGAGAAAAAACAAAGGCCATCCGGGTCTAGCTCAGTGAAAAGAGCCTTGACTTGCAGATTAGTAGTCTCAGGTTTGAATCTCCATGGCACCTTCTCAGTGTGTGTGAGAAAAACCCCCTCCCCCAATATTGTTTGTATGAATTTTTTTTTATTTATAAAACTTAAAAAAAGGAATACCCTTGTCTTTTTCTGATATGATGAGTGCTATGTGTTTTTGTTGTTGCTCTGCAATTTCAAACAACTCTGTACTGTGTGAACATACCTGTGACAACCTCCAGCTGGTAGACGTTATTGATTTGTGGCCCGTGCCGGAAAGCCTGACCGCTGATCCCGGCGTATGATAAAGTCCCACCGACGGTGAGGTGAAGGTAATCAGTCCAAGATTTTGGTGACAACCCATGTTTAAGAGTCTCATGCAGAATATTTATCCACAGCTCACCACCTGAAACATCCACATAAGGCTGCTCTCCAATGTGAACCTGCATTTGTTGTGCCTTGAGTGACTCCATGTTGATGACCAGACCTCCATGGGTTTGAGCTTGACCTTGAAGAGAGTGGCCATGGCCTCTGGCAGCAACTGTAATCTCTGAAGCAGAACCCAGTTCAAATATAAGTTTTATCGTGGAGGAGATATCAGAAACTGATTTTGGATGCAGGACTGCTAATGGGAGGGATTGAAATGTGTTGCCAAAGTCCTTTGCTGCATGATGGTTGTTTTTAAAAGTAAAGTAACCATCTAGGCTTAGTGTCTCCAAAGCTGAAGTAAGATTAAGAGAGTGAGGTGAACTTGTTGGTGTGGCAAGGAGTTGATTGGAAGGAAGGTTGGTTGTTCTATCTGGTATGCAGCCCATGAATAATAAGATGAAGAAAAGTTTGAGGTAGAGAATGTTGTTCTGGTTGTGGAAGCCGTACATAGGCGAACCCATGTAGCAAGTGTTTTGAGGATTTTCTGAGAGAGAAAGAGATAGAGGTGCTCTTGCTGATTTTTGTGAGGCAAAGCAAAAGGAGAGGTGTAGAGGAGTCTAAGAAAAATGAGAGGTAGAGACGAGAATTTAAAGGGAAGGTTTTAGGCGGCATGGTCAAAACACAAACTCAACAATAACTTTGTACTATAGAGACTATTGCTAGTTTTTATTTGGTGTGTGTTACGATCTTCTTTTTCCCATTTTGGGTTCCAAATTTGAGGAGATGAATTTCACAAAGAAAGAGAAAGTGATAGGCTGATTTTCGGCATACCAATTTACAATATCTGGTACATTGTCAAACATGCCAAAATCAACCAATAATCAAAGCACTGTCGAGGAAATATAAATCAAATATGACAACACCCTAGGTATTGTAAATTAATATCATGTACCAAACACCTTTCCTCTTTTCTTGTCCAATTTCACATATCTTTGTGTACTTTCCTTCGGTTGTAAGCACATCTTCAATACAAATTCGTGCTTAATGGGAAAACTAAATCATTACAATTAATCTTTACTCTACTAAAAAAGGATGAACTTGTAGGAAAACCCCTACCGCTGATCAAAACCTGTTACTTTTACCAACGAGGCTATTACCACTTCAGGTAGAAATTGTACACCAGGACCTCAAATAACACCATAAAAGGACATGGTCCATGGAGGATACCTTGACTTAAATGTCATTATTATTATTATTAACTCGTTGTGAGTACATATCACTGCATAAATGTACCAGTTTTATACATATGAATGAATACAAGTTTGTCAGGCGACACGTATGCCACAGGAATCAATTTTTCCTGATCGGAGAGCGATCCGCGGGAAGCCCCCACACAGTTTGCTGCATGCTGCTTCAGCTTAGTGTCAGGGGACTCGGATGGAAAGTGGGGTCCCACTGTAGCGTTTATCTTTCAGAAAGTGCATGTATTGTGGTTTTGGCTGTTTTCTCCATTGTGTCCTCTCTTTCATAATCTCGTGAGAAAGTTCAAACCAAACCAAACCAAATCAAACCAAATCAAACCAAATCTTGTTTTTAACACTTTAAGAGAGAATTGTATTAGACATACATGGGATGGACCATCTCCACGGGTGTGTTTGTAATTAATCACCTCGATGTGTGTGTGAGAAAAATGTGTGGATGATATTTCCAGGATACGAATTTTATCCAGAATCTCTCTCAATAAAGTGAAGAGAAATGTCGAGTGCATGAATCTATCATCGAATCATAAAAGTTGTGCAATTAATTATATAAGATGTTAGGCCTCTCCATCCATTACTGATGATAATGTACTGATAATATATGCAAATTGATATTAGTTTGATTGTTAATATGATTAATTTTTAGAGGGGAGTAAAATGTGTACTTATCAGTCTTGATTTTAGGCTTTGAGCTTGACACATTTGAAACACATGTAGCCATGACTATGACATGGACTCATGTGGGTCCTGTTACATGTGATTTTCACGAGGGGTCAAGAAGAACTTGTCTGTTGGCATTGACTTTGGCACTGCAAGGACCAATAGACGTCATGTATGCATGTTTCACGAAAATCTAATGGGAACATAACATCCTAGCAAAAAATACCTTCTCATTTCTTAAGAAGACCAAGACCCATTTAAAGCCACTAGGTATAAGAAGCTGGCTTAATTTCATCCTCAAGGAGGTGTGAACCTAGAATGTTCTTGCGGAGAGTATGAACCTAGAAAGTTCTTGCGGAGAATCTAGTGTACAATTTTGTTGATATTTTATGAACTTAGAATATAACATATGTTATAATAGGAGTGAACTGATAATATCACGTGACAGTTTGACGATCACACTGAAAAATTAGTTGATCTTTGTGGACTCAAATTGTGTTCCATTCCATGTGCCCATTTGAAATAATTGTTTTCCAAATGATTCTACATTTTAAAAAAAATATTTTTAATGGCACTATCTCAGGAAAGCTATGTAGATTTATTGGTCATAGAAGTATTCAAGTATCATTATGTTGGTGGCATGTAGGGGCCTGGGATGCTTTGGGCTGTGTGTGCTGAAGGAATGGAAAGTGGGCATTGGGGATGACGAGTACGACAGTTTGAATGGAGGGGACACTACAAAAGGCATCAACTAACAACTGATTGGCGTCATAGATCCCAGCACTATGACATCCCTAATGTTATTCCCCAATGTATATATATATATATATTCTTCTTCAATATTATTATATGACTCTAGAATTGAAGGGGATTGTTTGATTCGTTATTTATCTAGAAATTTATAATTTATTGTTGAAAATCTTTGAACACAGTAAAGATAGTGCTATATGAATACTTGACTTGGTGCGTACAATTTCTTGAATTGGTCATGTTTGTTAGGTTAGTTTCAATGATGAGTTCTACAAAAAGTCATCAGCATCACAAATCAATGAAGCATTTGGTATTTTCAAAAAGGTAACCTTATGGTCTCAAGGAGGTAGAGATTAACCCTAACCCTAGCTAGATTCGATGTGAGCACATATAAGCCAACCGATATGGACAGTCAATTGTCATGGAGGGCCCTATTCGCTTTGCAAGTTAGCTCTAAATAATAATTTCTTGCATATATCTTTTAAAGTGCAAATTTGTAATGAAATTTATTATATCTTTGCTAAGATTATGAGGTTTGATAAGAAATTGTGACTAAGTTTTGAATCAAAATAGCCATCATCTCCCCATCCAATTGGGTTTACTGAACAACAATTTAATAAAGGAAAGTGAGAAAAGCCAATCGAGGGCATGCCTTAGGGTCAATTGGCTCTTAAAACATTTTGTGTGTGTTACAAACGTTAGAATTAATATTTACAAAGATATACAATCGGTCAATGCGTCAATCCACAATAAAGTCATGTCACCACAATGACACTAGCCACAAGTATCAAACAAAATATAAATATATATTATCATCGTATTCATATGAGTCGAACTTAAAATATATTCCAACAAAGTGGAGAAAAGCTTTAAAAATTGAAAGTGCTAAGCTCACATGCACCACAAATAAGAAGAGAATGTGAGGTCCACAAATTAGGCGATATGTTTAGTTCAGTCATCTCAACCATCTGAAATGGACCCACATGAGGTAATCTTGGCTCATCATCCGATCAAAAAATCTTGGCTCTCATAGGAAAAACTAGGGAAAGTGAAAAGATATATAAGAAAAGCATCTGATGTGAGGAAAGGGAATGTCTCCCTAGTCCCACGCACATAGCCCTAGTATACTAGATACAGAAAGAGGAATTTTTCCAAGCCAAGAGTTTCCAAAAAAAAAAAATAAGTGACAGCAGAAGTTGCTGCAAAACCACCACCTTCCTACTCAGTAGGATATGGCAAAGAGAGAGTTCGTAAAAACCCAAGGCTGCATTCTAATTTTTCTTTATGTTTAATCTAGTGAAATTATAAATGTCTAAGACAACACTTACTTCTGGCTGTGTATTTAAACCTATTTGTTCAAAGTGTAAATAATTCAAGGGAGACTAGCTAGCTTGTCTAAAGTTCTTGTCATTTCTTTCTTTCTTTTTCTTTGCTTTCTGTAAAGATCGGTTTTTTTATTTTTTTTATTTTTAACTTTCATCTGCTTTTCTTGTCGGGCAAACGTCTTATAATGCTCAATGGAGAGCTTGTTACGTACTCAGAAGCAGAACTCAAAAATTATAGATAACAAAACCAATAGCGATCGACTTGTGACATTGTCCCAATTATTGGGGTCAGTCGTGTATAATTTAGTATTTTTTTGGTAGAACTTGTGTCGGCCTATTAGAGTATAATTTTATACTGAGCTTTTGGTGTGTAATTAAGGACTAGACCATACCTAATATATAAAGTTATCCTTGCCCCCAAAAACCACCTTTGCAAAATTAGGTATTAATAGTCCTATACTTGGTGCTTGTTAGGATAAACACAGATAGATAATTGCAATTGCAAGTTATAAGTATGAAACATATCTATAATTGCTTGTTGGAAGTTGGACCTTCGGTTTCATATATATATATATATATATATATATATATATATATACAAGGCTTGTAGCTGAAGTGGTTAAGAGCATTTACCCCTTCATCGAAGATCCTAGCTTCAATTCCCCCTTAAAACCCTAGCTTTTGAGAGAGTCTTTCAGCACTGTTTCACCTCACGGGGGAGGGCCCTCCCCTTCTCCCCTCTATTGAGTACCTTTCAAGGTTCCTCTTAGAGCACTTGGCTTCACCCATTTTGTTGGGTCTGAAGCTCTCTCCTTCTTGAGAGTTGGTGACTTGATTGAGTTTTCTTGCTCGGATCTAGGGCTTCATGCCTCCATTCAGCGGTAGCTATGAGATTTTAAGGGTTCTGTGCCAAAACAACAAGAGTCACCTAAAATAGAGTCTTCAACGAAAAATTATAAAAAATAATCAAACTATAATTAAAATCTTGTGATCATCAAATTACTAATTATCAATCACCAAGGAAAACAACAATAATATTAAAAATACAGGAAAAGAAAATCTGAAAATTTGAGAGAGAGAGAGAGAGTTCAATGGTTGAAGGCTGAAGCTTGAAAAAACAATTAAGATACAGGCCGATAGAAAAATAATTGCATACGAAGTTATATGTTGGAGGTCTCTTAAATTGAGCAAAATGAAAATTGGTATTAATAGGAATAGAAAAATCAAGGGAGAAGCCAAGGCAATCGATACCAATATAATAAACTCACATTAATAAAATAATATTTATATGGGGTCAGTTTTCTTTATTTTGTACTGAAAGACAAATAAAAAGTGAATATTAATATTATTAAATTAATACTATTACTATGCTACAACAACATATTAATGTAATTAATATTTAATGTGGGGCTCCTTCAAAGTGGGGCCCTGTGTGGTGGCTCACTTTGCTCATGCCAAACGCCGCCCCTTCCTCCATTCTTGCTAGTTCCCCCAGATTTCCACCATTCCAATCCTCTTAGTGTTGTCCCTTAGCTGTTTTCTTTTA